CAACTCCCTCTCCGCATCGAGTGTCTTCTCTTTCACATATTCACACGTACGTGCACATCTGCAAGGCAGAGCAGTAAACCCTACACCTTTATAAATCGAAGACGCACACTATGTACCAAGTCTCACCCAGGCGACCTTTGAGATCACGCGTAGCTTGGAGATGGATGGTCTCCACGGAGACGACGAGGCGCACACGTTCCCTCCCTTCCCCTACTTCTCGGCGCCGTCGACACCGCCGCCACTCGCGTCACCGCTGGCCTCGTCGTCGGACGGTCAGCACAGCCCGCTCGCCGCAGCGCTCCAGCAGCTGACCCCGCCCCCGTGGCCATGTACTCCTCCTGATCTGACCCTTCAGCCGGCGATGGGGGACGTGAACTGGTCGTCCCTGTTCCAGACGGGGCCGGTGGCTCTGCCGGAGCAGGAGGAGGAGGCCGTGCAGGCGGATCAGAGCGGGGAGAACGACGGCGAGGCGGGTGGGAGCGGAAGTGGTAACAAGGAGAAAGCGAAGGGAAGCGCCGGGAGATCGGGGAAGAAGAAGGCGAGCAAGCCGCGGTTCGCGTTCCAGACGAGGAGCGAGAACGATATCCTGGAAGACGGCTACCGCTGGAGGAAGTACGGGCAGAAGGCCGTCAAGAACAGCTCCAACCCTAGGTATGGTTCGTCCAATTAAGTTTCTCTGTACTATTATTAATCCTGATAGTCATGCGCGTGTCTGCGTCTAAGTACTCATATATGCACTAGATTACATGCACCGATGCCAGGATGAATATTCATGCATCCTAGATTTGCATGCATGCATCGATCATGCGTCTAAGGGCATCTTCAACAGTTGTAAGATAGGTGTTGGTAAATTTGTCACATAGGACATAGTGATGATGTGGCATGTATTAAATGTGAAAAGAGAGCAAAGTTGTATGTAGATTAACCAACAACCTTTGTACAAGCTTCAAGGTGAAGTAGAGAGCAATCACATTTATTTTTTCACCATCTATTGGATAGCTTGCATACAACCCATTAAAGTAGATGTATGATAGCTTGTTGGTTGATGACATGGACATTTTACCAACAAGCCTAACATACAACCTATTGGAGATGCCCTAATTGGTTAGGCATAGCCATATTCGGCTCTACACTACCGAACTACTCCGGTACTTATTCGTATAATTGTAAAGAGTTTAAACATACATGTAAACTGTCTTCCATGTAAATAAGGGAGTTGTGCAAACGTGCACGCTCAAATAGTCACGGCGATCATGAGTACTGAATCTTCCATGCATGTAAACTTTACATGCATGAATGGATGCGCATGACGTATCCGTTGTAGGTTAGTCTCGGGTGCGCCAACAATCCGGCATTGATTGTTTGAATATGGTTGACCTGCAAAATGTT